CGCTGTGATGACGTCAAAGGCGCGATTTTGTCGATCGCGCTTTTGCCGTCCGCGCTTTTGACGGGTCACGTTCTAGCCTGGTGCCTACTATACGACTACCTCTCTACTGAACTGCCTCACCTTTGTTATATTATCCCAATTGTTCCCCCTTAGTGAGAAACAGTATGATTTTAGATACAGAATGGTCTTTTTTTAGGATTTGTAACTTTATTGATAATAAATGGCTTCGGTGGCATCTGCAGCTGAAGTAAAAAGAGTTAAGATAGGGGCCGCAAGTGTGTGATCAGAGCCTCACTCCTTTTTTTTTTACATTTGTCACAATGCACTTACAAAAAGTTGGGCTTCAATTGTGTGGTTATGGATGACATCTTGACTAGTATTTTTTTCCCTGCGGATGTCCCAGATGATGAAAGAAATTATTTTAACTGAAGGTGAATGTTCTAGATTCATTGTCTTGCATAGCATAAACACAAAACTGTTAATAAAAGATTTTTACACTGCTTTAAAATTCCATTTTAAGGGTTTGATTGAAATCATATTACTAAGTAATAATTCTTATTTTAAGAAATATCTAATTTGATAATCCTTCTAGGAAAAAAATCCTTTTCAATAGCAGACTCATATCAGAATTTTCTATAATCTGGCCACTCCTTTAAAACAATTTCAACAAAGTAAGCCCTCAGTCCATGTGAATGAGTGAGATTTAAATTCTGAGTCCTGGTTATCAGCACCCATTAATGTTAACTTATTTGCCAATCTAATAAAGGAAATTCCTTTATAATCACAACAAGCACTTATGTCTGCCAGACCCACCAACCCACACAGAAATCAGTAGAGAACATTAGTAATCAAATTTAGGGAATCAGTAAAAAAACAAACCCTTGGAATACTGTGTACAGTGACTGCATCAGAAAAAGAATATTCTATTGCAATTTTGGTTGCAAGAATGGATATATAAAATTATGAGGGGGCCTGGTCGGTTCCTCTGTAAGGAAAAGCTACAGTCTGTGGTGCTTTCACGCTTTCGAAAAAGTGAGGAAGAACATGGCAGGGTATACATAATTATTCACAACATGATTTTGCCACTATTTCATAATTTATTCCCTAGAGATTCAGATGACAGAAGGTCTTCTTGTACTATTCAATTGTGGAGTGCAGTGCCACTAGGCAAAAAAATATATGACAGCACACAAACTAAGTCAAATCCATGAAGTATATAAAACTTACTAGTGACTGCAAGTCATGATGATTATATTTTCTCCAGTCTAGGAATATTATGTCTAGAAACTTCAAGTGAAAGTGGCTATTGCATTCATGTCCTGTTAAGTGATTTTCCAGAGGCATCAGAATAAAGAGAATGCTAAACTAGGCAGATCCATTATCTGATCCAGCAATTGGAATTGGTCATATTCAGATCCACTATACACACAATCTTGTTTCTTGTATTTTTTTTAATGCCACCTAGGAAAGCATGAAATATCTAGCAACATGACCATCTGGAGTCAGATAAAAGCAAGTGGTGTATCAACTAGCCAGGAAAAAAAAGATAATCTGGGGATAGGTCAAAGAGCATGACCTAGCCTAAGGGAAAGAAAAGCTGGGCACAATCTAAATTCTACTGTCCTCAAACATGACAGATCCTGATAGTAGAATGACTACCACACATTGCTTTCTAAACTGCTTTGTTGTAATGATTATAAATGAGAGACAGTTTGGTGTAGAGGTTAAGGAATCAGGTAGAGACTATGAGTTCAAGTCTTGCCTTAGGCACAAAGCCAGCTGGGTGACCTTGGGCCAATCATTCTCAGTCCAATGAAAAAGGCAGTGGCAAACCCCTTCTGAAATCTTGCCAAGAAAGATGCAGGGTCCTTTCCAGGCAGTCACTAGGAATCAACACTGCCTCCAAGATGCACATACACACAATTATGATAGCAACAGAACTTAGACTTATATCCCACTTCACAGTGCTTCATAGTCCTCTCTAAGCAGTTTACAGAGTCAGCATATTGCCCACAACAATCTGGCTCCTCATTTTACCCACCTCCGGAGGATGG